TGTCGAGATCACGAGAAAATTAAGTCGTTATAACGAGAAAACAAGAAGAAAAAAAATAATAATGCATGGCCGCTTAGAACTTCCGTAATAAACTTATAGCAAAAAATTTTTTTTTTTAAATAAATAAATAAATAAAATAAACTGTCAGATACAGTTCAGAAAGTCAAGACTTCTGGCAAATATTTGAGACACTTAAAACTATTTTTCATGCTTGCTTAATTTTGTTAATGTTGGATAGTTTAAAAAACATTTAATCGTTCTCACCAAGAAAAGAAAAACAAAAAACTTTGTGTTTGTGAGTCTAATGCTTCACAAAAAAGGAAACCAAAGTGTTCCATTTTCATGACCTTCACAAAGTTACAGTAAACAAAAACTCCCCATTCATTCAGACCTTTGAGCAAAAACCCCCATCATCATGCTGAAGATGCCATCATTCTCTCAAACACAGGTCACACACTCTGAAACACTCACACACAATGTGACAACCATTTTAATTACACCAAAACCTTAACCAGCATTTCACTTAATTACCACCATTATTAATAATCTGACAATTATAGACAGCACAATCACCTCACCAGCACTCCATCACTGCACTTAAAGTTTCTATTAGAGAGTGGAGTAGAGCTCTGTGTCTGCTAATGCTACTTAGATATCAGTGTTTTTAATTATCCAGCTCTGGATGGAAGAGAGGATGTGTGGAAAAAGCTCCAGGGAACGAGTGGGGCTTTTGACCTGTCAAGCACAAGGATGCTCGATGAGCTACCATTAAAAGCCAACTTTTAGAGAGTTTATAGTGGGGGGGGGGTTCAGAGGTATAAAACTATTGCAACTACCAGGTGTAGAAAGATACGACAGAGCTTTGTTTTCAATGACTAATAGCAACTCTAATCAAATACACCTCGCAATCAAGCCAATCAAGAGTTCAGGATAATATAGTTCAAATGGCTTACAATATTTTACTCAAACAGAACAGAACAGAACTGATTTTAAAATGGACACAATGAGCAAATATTGTGTACAACTACAGATCAACTGAAATTCAATCCATTTCCAGCAGTGCTTAATCATTTTCTAGTAAAATACTGCAAGACGTGGCATAATAGCGGCCAATCAGAGAAAATACTTTGTTTAATATAGTTGTAATGAGGCTGGCATTCAGGAATAAAAACTAAGTTGCAGACAAGCAATGAGGTACAAGTCATCTCATCACCGCTGCTTAAAAAAATGCATGGAAGAGATGCCAAGCCATGATGGTTATGAATTGATGTCAATGCCAAAATGACCAAATACCAGTGTTGTTATTGTAAACTAAAATGATTAATTATTGTTTTTGATAACTGACGTCTATATAAACTTTAGAAAAAAAAACTGTCAGATACACCTTTGGCAAATACTTGAGACACTTAAACCTATTTTTCATGCTAGCTTAACTTTTTCATGTTGGATAACGGTTTAAAAAACAAACAAAAAAACAAACAAACATCTAATCGTTCTCACCAGAAAAAAAAACATGCTTCATAAAAATAAAAAAAGGGAAACCAAAGTGTACCATATCCATGGCCTTCACAAAGTTACAGTAAACAAAAACTCCCCATTCATTCAGACCTTTGAGCAAAAACCCCCATCATCATGCTGAAGATGCCATCATTCTCTCAAACACAGGTCACACACTCTGAAACACTCACACACAATGTGACAACCATTTTAATTACACCAAAACCTTAACCAGCATTTCACTTAATTACCACCATTATTAATAATCTGACAATTATAGACAGCACAATCACCTGACCAGCACTCCATCACTGCACTTAAAGTTTCTATTAGAGAGTGGAGTAGAGCTCTGTGTCTGCTAATGCTACTTAGATATCAGTGTTTTTAATTATCCAGCTCTGGATGGAAGAGAGGATGTGTGGAAACGCTCCAGGGAACGAGTGGGGCTTTTGACCTGTCAAGCACAAGGATGCTCGACGAGCCACCATTAAACACCAACTTTTAGAGAGTTTATAGTGGAGGGAATTCAGAGGTATAAAACTATTGTAACTACCAGGTGTAGAAAGATACGACAGAGCTTTGTTTTCAATGACTAATAGCAACTCTAATCAAATACACCTCGCAATCAAGCCAATCAAGAGTTCAGGATAATATAGTTCAAATGGCTTACAATATTTTACTCAAACAGAACAGAACAGAACTGATTTTAAAATGGACACAATGAGCAAATATTGTGTACAACTACAGATCAACTGAAATTCAATCCATTTCCAGCAGTGCTTAATCATTTTCTAGTAAAATACTGCAAGACGTGGCATAATAGCGGCCAATCAGAGAAAATACTTTGTTTAATATAGTTGTAATGAGGCTGGCATTCAGGAATAAAAACTAAGTTGCAGACAAGCAATGAGGTACAAGTCATCTCATCACCGCTGCTTAAAAAAATGCATGGAAGAGATGCCAAGCCATGATGGTTATGAATTGATGTCAATGCCAAAATGACCAAATACCAGTGTTGTTATTGTAAACTAAAATGATTAATTATTGTTTTTGATAACTGAAATAAAACTGCAAAAATATATACAAATATAAAATAAAAAACTTTAATGAAAATGAGAAATGTTGCCTTAGTAACTTGAAGAAATAAATTTGTTGAGATGCAATAAATGTTAATTGAAATAAAAATAAAGCTATATAAAAATAAACATAAACCCAAAAATGAATAAAATAACAAAAGCACATAAAACTAAAATTAAAATGAGAACCGAAAATATAAAAATACAGCTAATTCAAAATATTGATAAAAAACTATAGTAGTACTGAACATAATAATAATAATAATAATACCAAAATAGCACTTCCAAATAGCAGCTAATGTGTCACCTGGACAATACAATGGTTTATTAATACTATAAATCAGTAAATTTAACAACATGAATAAAAGTGTTACCCATAATGAAAGTGACCTTTCTTTGAATGTGTGTATTGGTTTAAAACAATGGCTACCTAACAGACATCTAAACTGCACTGTGTATTAGTCATGCATCATGAATGATTTTAAACTCATATGACACTGGAGGTTGTCCGAAGATGGTATAAGATCAGTAGTAGATTGGTAAGTTTTAGAAAAAGAGGGATTTTAACTTGCACTCCAAATTAACCTCTCAAAACAATGAAAGTCAAAGCTGCTTGAGATCGCGGTATCCTGAGGTGACCATTGATAGCTTATCGGCTAAAGTACTGTCAAAGAGGAATTTCTATGATCTGGTGTATATATGAAAAATGGAGCCAAATGGCATGCTCTAGATCTGCGGACACTGGTTGGTTAAAAGCCCCTGACTGATGGATCTGTAATATCCAAGCTTAGGCTTATTTTTCCATCCATACTGACAACGATACAACAGAATTAGCAGAGATGAGGGTTTGTAGAGGACAGATGCAGAGAGACAAGAAAAAAAGAGAATGCTGCAGAAGGTTGGAAAAATAAAACTGCACAGAAAGGTGAAACAACCTCAGACAAAGACTACGCATGATAAACCGGCAAGAAGTGGCTTGACTGGCGCTGACATTTCGCTGTACTCCCACATGGCAGCACTGAGGGAGTTGAGTGGTGTCGTATTAGAGCAGTTGGCTAATTGAACATCTAAATGGCTTTGTCAGAGCTGTTTCGCAGTGGAAGTGTAGACTCGTGAGATGCTATCTTCTGAAAGAACAAGACGGAACACAGCCTAAAGATATCCCCGAAAGACCCATTCTGGACGAAGCGCTCAAAACATGCCAAGCGTCTCAAAATCAGTTACTTCCCGGACAGAGCGCTCGCTAAAGGTCCTGATGAGTGAACAGAGACATGCATGTGTAGACGTCTTTTATTGTCTGGAGAGACTGAGCATCGGAAATCCATCTGAAATGTGTCTGAAAACGTCACAGTCCTGAGACAGGATGAGAAGTTCTGCTGCCGGTGCTACTTTAAGCAGATGCTATTCTCATTCAATAAAGATGACCCTCTGGCCCGAGGACAGTGTGAGAGCGCTATAACTTGTACATGGATTTCGCATTTCAAAATGATTTCTTTTTTAACCTGTTAGCTAGGTAAAAAGCTGTCTGGAATAGTTTTGATTGCAAGAATTACTTGTGATAGTCTTGGTAACATCAGAAAGAACTGGTTGAAAACTGCAAAGCAATTAGTATTGCTTCTGCCTTACATTACATAATATTCCAGCTAGTATTGCAAAATTTGTCAGTAAATAAAATGTATTTATTTAAAAACATTTAGTGAAAACATGCATATGTATATACTTACAGCCAAAAACACTTTAGGCATCGTAGATTTTTACAACTTAAAAACAAACTATAACCATAATAAAAATTAAGATGCCAAATATTATTTTTTTGATTTCATATTTGGTAGTCCAGCTAAGTAAACTATTCTATAAATACCTGTAACTATCATTCCTATAGCCAAGACGATATTCCCATTTCTCTATTAATATATTTTTTCCTGAAAACATATGTATATGTGTGAAAAATATATAAATTACACATTTAAAAATAAACAAAACTTAAAATATGTTAAAGGGGTCATATGACGCGATTTCATGTTTTCCTTTGTCTTTGGAGTATTACAAGCTGTTCGCGCATATATAAGATCCGTAAAGTCACACAGATTAAAGTCTCAAACCCAAAGAGACATTCTTTCTAAAAGTTAAGACTCATCCACACCTGAGCTTTGTAAAAATCAATGCGTTTCAGAAAGGCGGGGCAGAGAAGAGCAACAATAATGTATGGTATGTGTAAAAATGTTTTTTTGAACCTTAAACCTCAAACAAATTGAATTACACCGAATACACAAAATAACATTCCTTTTAGCAACGTCATATGACCCCTTTAATAATAGGCATGCTAGCAAGCAACTACTTAATAGTGAGAATTGGTCCCTATACTAAAGTTTTACCACTTAAACTACACATTTAAAAATATAAATGCAAAATTATAAACTAAATAAATCAATTCAATACATGAAAAAAAATAGAAAATTAATATGAACCAGGCACTCAGTTCTTACTTTGTTGTTAACTTTTGTCATAATTTTCTGTTTCAAATGAAAATGTCTTTATCAAGCCAAAGCCTTGTAATGACATTTAATAATAATAGCAATTGACTGAGTGCATTGATTCAATATAGTGACAAACAATATCACAATACTTCAATTTTCCCAGTAAGCTTTGTTTAAAAAACGAGTGGTCTTTGTAGTCTTTGTTTTCTCCTTCACACTCGCACACACTCTCTCATCCTTTGAAAAATCATTGTACCTATTGTCTTGCTTGAATGGCATTAGTGTGGCTTTGGAGCCAATCTAATTTAAAAGTGGAAATATCAGTGTGGCAGTAATTAAAGCGGTTAAATAGCTGTGAGGTTTGAACACAATAACAGCAGTCCCACCTCGATGATTTTGCGTGCCTCCTTGTAGCGGCCCGTTTGCAGGAACGCAAAGTAAAGGTCGTAGAGCATCATCATCTCGCCTCGCTCCTGACTCAAAAACTCCATGACTGTGAAATGAAAGAGAGAGACGAAACAGTCACATTTGTGTACTCTGTGTACATGGTCTCTATTCTATACACCTAGGATGACCTGAGGGGGAGTAATTTATGGGCTAATTTTCATTTTTGGGTGAACTAACCCTTTAAGCAGAGTAAATGTCTTCAAAAAAGTGCTTTCAGCAGCCCGGCATTTCATTAATAACAAGTTTATATGAAAAATAGAAGCTATATGAATGTCTGGCGATATTTTTGAAAACATTATTTTTAGATTTAATCTCTGGTTCATATAGCCACCAATAATCTCTTTACTTTACAGTATTGTTTAAATGCTATCAGATTTAACAGATGCCTTGTGAAAATTGCCTTCATTGTCACTTAATGGCAAACAGATCTGGACTCTTTGCTTGCCACTTCAGAACGGTCCAGAAAAGCCACAGCAACACAAAGAGAGTGAACTCCTGCAGGTATATGTACGTTTACGTCTATCAATGGGTTTGCTGTGGCACATTCAGAGTGCTGGGTCATTGGGGCCGTAAAGTGGCCCTCCATCGTAGAGGTCTCACTGCCTTAACACTTCAAATCCACTCACCCCCAACACACAGCGCACTTAACCCCTCCACTAACCCTGACAAAGACAGAGACTATTGAAACCACCATCATCTAGGTTGTCCAACCTGCCCTTTAGTGGGTGGCACTCTTGAAAACACCGAACACACACTTTCTACATATGACCATCTCAACAGACAGCAAACCAGAACACACACACACACACACGCAGACAAGTAGACAAACTACTTGTGACTAACAAGTGACACAGAAATTTAATTAATGTGCTGTGTGTGTGGGTGGGTGTTACACACCTTTCTGTAACAGCTCGGCATCTCCTTTTTCCACCAGGCCACAGATGAGGTCGTGGATTTTGGGCATCTGGTTGTATTGTTTTTGGACCTCCACAGTGGCATCGAATGCACCCGCATAGTTCTCACTGTAGAAAAACATGACATATTACACCAAAACAGCACTACACATTGTGCCAGTATCAAGTCTTCATGTTGTGATTATTGCTGAAGCTTTTATAGGGGTATTATCATCACGGTACTGTGTTTTATTACAAAACAGGCTGAAATTTTGAAACTGTTGTTGTTCTTAACAAGTTTAAATTACTTTTTAAAACACCAAACTACCCTTTAAAGGAAGTAACTTTAAAAAGAACCATGAACATTTTAAAATCTATATAAACATTTGAATAAATACACAAATAATAATTAAAAAAAACATCAAATAAAAATAATAATAAAAAGAAATATAATTAATGGCAAGATTTAGTTCATTTTTTCCACAATAAACATTTAAGAAAGTAAATAATCTAAAACATTAAATGAAAATGTTACATACTGTACACATTAAAAAATATATAGTTAAATGGTCAATATGATTTTAAAAAGTACAAATATTTAAAAGAAACTGCATTGGTCCTTAAACCGCATAAACACATTTCATTACACCAAATACACAAAATAATGTTCTTTTTAACAACATCATATGACCCCTTTATATTAAAGATCACAAAGTAAATAAAAAAACATTTAAATATAAAAATAAAATAAATCTAAATAAACATTGAAAAATAATCTTGAAAAAAAAAAAAAAAATTAAATGGTCATTATGTCTGAAGCACAAATATTTAAAAGAAACCGCACTGGTCACAAACTACTTTGTAGTTTTTAACGTCAAGTTGTAAGTACTTTTTTAAACAATAAAATAACTTTTTAATAAAAAAACAACCATGCATAATTAAGAAACTATAGAACACTTAAATAAATATACAAATAAAAAATGCATTAAATAGTATATACACATTTCTAAATAAACATTTCATGGCCATGTGCAACAAAGGTCTTTAGCTTCTTGCAACTTCCTGTGACTCCCGCCTTCCTCTACGGCCCCCAGTGCCCTCACCCCCAACCGGGCCGCTTGGCAGAATATGGCAACAAAATTAGATCTGCTCTCTCCCCTCTCTCACATCTTCTTCCCCGTCTTCCTCCCTCTCTCTACCCCTTTCTAACAAAGAGCTCAGTGCCGGGGCTGACAGAGGCCTGACAGAGGAATAAAGCAAAGGAATAGACGAGAAAAACACCACTCCAATCACTCTATTGTGACTGCAGTGGCAGCCATCGAGTGATTGGATAATTACCACGCCAATCACACAGAGGTCAAAGCAGATAGGGCCCCGGCAGGAGGGGCGGGTGTGGAGGGAAAGTGAACCTGTGGGGTTTTAACAGGTGTAATTTCAGTAGTGTTTTCCAGCTCTTAGGCAATCGCACTTAATTGGAATGAAGAGCGACAATATTATTCATCAAGCGGGAGTCAAGAGCCAATTCGAACACACGCTGGATGATGGCGCAATGCACTTGAGCAAGAGTGAGAGAGAATTTGGATGGTCTCATTTGATTAAGGCCCACATAAAAAAAAGCAAAGGGAGCGAGACTGATAGAGAAACAGAGCCATCCAACAGTCAACTCTATAATTTCACATTTGTTTTGCAATTTTTGTCACAAATTACTGATTGTGAATCACAGGCCTTTTAGTTACGGCATTTCTTATTCAATAAACATAGGCTCCTAAAAATAACACTTAAAAATGTATGTATTACACTGTATGAGAAAACAAACCAAGTGACATCTGAAAAAAATTTTTACTAGAGAATTTCTCAGAACTGGTTTTAATAAAAACTGACAATATATCTACTGTTTTACAATCTGCCTTTCTGTCAAATGTTTTGCTTCTAAAGTGTGTTTGTGGTTTAAAAATAAATGACCCGTTTCATATTTTGTTATAAAATATAAAGACAATCATAAAGTGTTGCATTTTGGTGACACTGAATATTTAGGGATAATGTTTGTCCTAATGGCAAAATAAATACGGACGCAAAGCTGGTGTCTTTTTCCATACAGATTAGCTAACTGTACATTATCTTATGTATTTATCCAATCTTTCAAATAAACAAAAATACATCAAATACAAAAATTTTAGATATAATTACTTCAAGTAAGAAAAAAGACACCATGGCAAGAAATTAGAAAGATGTGAAGTAATTCTGTTACTTTGAAAAACAGTTGATGATATAGTACAGTTTTGCAGTTATTATAACAAATAGAGTTGACCACAGAAAAAGTTTAATCTATGCCTAATTGATTAATTATTATTTAAGAGTAGTTCATTAAATAAAAAAAATTAAATAAATGAAAAAAAAAAAAACTTATTTAAAATATTCACTTAAAAAAAAAAGTAAACATTTCCAGCATTTGACTGTAAATGCTTTGCACTCCAGAGAAAATTTGATATATGTATTATATAAATTACAATTTAAAGAACTGTTTTCTATTTTAATACATTTCAAAATTTATTCGTGTGATAGCAAAGTTGAATTTTCAGTAGGCAATACTCCAGTCTTCAGCGTCACATGATCCTTCAGAAATCAATTTGCTGCTCAAAAAACATTTTTTTTTTATTATCAAAGTTGAAAATATTTTAGTGTAAACCAGGATTCAAAGGAATTTTTTGGTTTTACTGTAACATTTGATCTATTTAATGCATCCTTGCTGAGAAAAGTATTAATTTATTTATTTATTCTCGCTGACTCCAAACATTTGAATTGTAATAAGGTCAGTAAACTCTAGAAAAACAAAAAGAAGGAAATATTTGCCCTAATCTTCAACTGACATTGGAATATTCTCAGATTATTACAAAAGCAGCCAGCATTGAAAACAAACCCTAAACTCAACAGAACTTTTGAAGTGTTGTGTTTACTGACAAGGCCTGATGGAAGCAGAAATTCTTTGAACTTAATGTATTCAGAACGCCACGTGAATACGATGTGACACAGATGTTACGTTTCCCAGCCCCCCAAAGCATAAGCAGCATAAAACCAGAAGACTTCTTCACAATTCCCATCAATATGAGATGAGTCGTCCACAACGGCAATTACCCCACCCCCTCCTTCAAAACCCAACCCCCCTTCTCCACCCTCGCCTAACTAAGCCCCCCAAAAAAGAATTAACCATGTTGAAGGCTTCATAATTTCCCCGGATACAATTTAGCTGTCAGTGGCGCTCAGGCTTACTGCAACATGTTCCTCTTAATGTCACTAACTTTGCATGTCAAGCACTTTCCAGCCAATTAAGTTGAAGGAGAATTAAAAAAAGCGAATGCGAGTGCTTTGCGCGAGGAACCTGAAGGATTAGACAAGAAAGCTAATTTCATCCACCCCTCTTCTGAACCTCCTCTTCTTGTGACACTCTCCCCTGACTCCCATCTCTTTTGTTACCGAGATTGGCACCCATGTTATCACCCTTTCCACTTTTAAAGAGAACGACTGCTTTTTTTAATGTCTTTCTTCCTTTACATTGAAGTGTGTGTGTGTATGTTGGTAGTTAGAGAGGGTTAATGCTCAATGATTTGACTAAGAATCGAATACATCTATCAAACACAAAACTACAGAACAGAATGATTTTTAAATGTAAACAGTCCCGATTTAAACTTTCCAGAAACTGTCATTCCTTACTATACATGCACATGACTCAGTTTAAAACAAACATCTGACAGACTTCGACATCCCCTCCCTCTTTTTTAGAGTTCCTGTCTCTCAAAAAATCCCTTCCACAAAAAAGTTCTGGCAATTCCCTTTGTTAGGCTCATTAGAGACTGAGGATACGGATCGGGAGCGGCGGCTGCTGTTGTCGTGGAGACGGGCTGACGGCTGTCAGAGTTAATCCCATAGAGAAGTGTTCATTAAGTCATTACCGTTGACATGCTGACGAGACACTGACACACACCGCTTTGTACTCTTTAGCGCAGCCCAGACCAAAGAGGAGACAGAGACGAGTGGAGAGAGAGATGGATGAGGGCAGAACGGAGAGAACGCTGGATTAAATAAAAGAGCCGTCGATAGCAGGGGTGCCAAACACATTTTAGGTCGAAGGCTGGATTGGACAAACATCACCTTATGTGGGTTGATTTTTTGGTCTATCGATGGGTGTGTGTATGTATAACAAATGTGCATCACAAGTTCTGATTCAACTTCATCATGCTGCTTTGAGTAAAACCAAAGGAATTTAGTAGTAATATCATTTACCAATATCTTTTCTAAATACAAAATTACTGGGAAAAAAAAAAATACTAACTAAATTTAGTTAGTTTAATAAGTAGTCTTAAACAACAACAGAGTTTATATTACAACACAGAAAAATTGATAACTAAAAAAAATAAATTACTTGGATTAAAATTTTGCTTCCCAGTCAAACTCCAACAGTGCTAAATACTGTAAGTATGACTGTATTACTGTATATCTAATGTTTATCTGCCAAGAGTTATTATAAATATAATGAATACAATCTAGTAATGTTACTGTTAAAAGTAAAAGTTCACACTAAAACTATTTTTCAGTAATAAATCTGAAATAAAATTAAATATAAATATCAGAAAACAATTTAAAAAATAAATAAAATTAGAAATGTTGCCTTGCCTAACTGAACTAAATAAGTTTAAGTCAACTAAAATTAAAATGGAAATAAATGTATTAAACTTGAATAGAAATATTTTTAAACAAATAAAATAAATAAATGACAAAAGCACAAAAAATTACTAAAACTAAAATGAAAACTGACAATAATAATAAAAAAGCAATTAAAAAATAATTAAGAATAAATAAAATGCATGTTAACTGTATATTTTAGCTAATTTCACTTTCACTAATTTCGCTTTCAGCTACCAATGGACACAGAGTTGACACAATTCACCATGTTTACATCCATTCTGTAGAATTCAATCACTTCCCGCTTCACAAGCATGAATGAAATTTTTCCTAAAAATCAGCTTCAAACATACAAAATTAAATAACTGTAAAAAAAAAATTAAAAAAAAAGATTTTATCTGGGTCTGGCCCAAGTCATCATCCTTTCTGTCTTTGACCAATATTTTGGTCAGTATATAAAGATACTCAAGATACACTGACTATCTTTTATTTAAATATGACTCCAGTATATCATAGACAAATCAGACAGGTACTACAGAGTTCCTAGCGGAGGCTGTATCCAAGCAGGCCTGGCTGCTGTGAGCTCTGAGACGGCTCTCCCCCGCTGGAATGTGTGGCTGCCAGTCACTGTGTGTGTGTGTGATGTAAACGTTCACAGTTTATCAGAGTCTCTGCTGAGAGTCGCTCTGATCTCTCCGTATCTGCTCCTTAATGAACTTGAGCTAAATTGGAAACCTTATCGCGCACAAGGCAGCAATTAAAGCGTGCACGTGCCAGTGTGGTTGTGGCACTCGAGTGACAGAAAAACAAACAGTCTCGGTGGGGCACCCAGGAAACCTGTATGTGTATGTGTGTGTTGACTCTAGCGCTATCAGTGAAGGTGTAGTGCCAACCTCAATATCCCACAGCGGGGAGGGGGAAAGGCACTTACGCAGTGCACCGCATGGCCCAGGCAAATCCAGTAATTAGCACAGGGTGCATAATTAACATGCAAATTAGTTGATCTGCTTAAAAGCCGCTCTTACAAATAGACCTGCACGGATGGGGGGGTGGGAAAGAGAGGCCGAACTTGTGGAAGTTAATTCCTTTTCCCACCATGCTGCATTTTGCTATAAGATAATGACAGATTATATGAAATGAACAGTGAAACGACAAGCTTAGGGAGGAGTGGAGCTCTGCCCTTTACAACCGGACATTGTTATTAATGTTTGTTTTCAGATTATATTCATGTTGTTTCCAAACTCACTACTTGTTGGGGTCAACCATAATTTTTTATTTTTTTGGCTGAGATCCTTTTATAATGCTAGTCAAGGTTTCTTGCACCAAAAATTTGTAATTAAGTTCTGTCATGACAACTCTCGGAAGATTTTAGCATGGTAATGGATGTGACAATGTTAATGTATTTGGTCTTGGCGGAATAGATCTGCTATGCTGCTGAATTGCTGCTGCTTTTGTAGATTATTGCTGCTGCTGCAAAGCAAGTACAGAAACTTGCTACTGCCAATACATACGCTGATACAGTGCTGTGAGTATGCTGCTGCTGCACAAAATGAAAACAAAGTAACCCATAGCAGATCTATACAGGTGGAGCTGGGGAGGTGGAGGGTTTCAGAGTAACTCTGAAAGCACACTGCGAAATGCTCTAGTGGATGCTAACCAGCCATTTAAATGTAGAGCAGTAAAGCTCATTGGCTGCATATGCAACATGAACCAGTCAGCTTGTGCCAAGTAGTTTGACGCTGTAAATATCATCAGTTTGCAATAAGGACCCATCAGCCTGCGCCAGCTGACTCTGATTCCCTGACATTTTTCAAGCAACAGCTGAAAACTCACCTCTTTCGTCACTATCTGACTTCATCCTAAAAAAATATTTTTCTCTTTTCTTTCATCTTTCTCTGTCTAGCTTGTACTTATTTGAACAATGCTTGAAACTTGCTATGATGAGCACTTCCTGTTTCTATTTGCCTCTTTAAGATGAATCGCTTGATGTATTCCCCAACTGTAAGTCGCTTTGGACAAAAGCGTCTGCTAAATGAATAAATGTAAAAGTAAAGTTGTAAAAAATGTAATTGTAAAGTAAATGTAAAGTAGTGTAGCAGCATTTTTCCGATAACAGATGCTTTGTTAAGTCTGCATTACATTGTGACAGGTTTACAAAACAATCTGCACTTGAATGCTCTGCACAAACTGTTAAGGTTCAGCTTAACCTTTCCAATAGATTCAAAATCTGCATATAACTTTTAGCTTACCGAGTCAGTTTTGAGCTGGTGGAACTTATAAAACATTCATTACTTAAAGAGCAGGTCATATGGGTTTTTGAAAAATATCTCTTTTGCAGTTTATAACGTAGCTATCCTTAAATGAAAACAATCTGCAAAGTTGTTAATCAAAAAAGTGCATGATAAATAAAGATATTGTCTCTCAAAAGAGAGAGTCGATTCTGAATCACCTTAACGAGCCGTCATATTTTCGAATCATTTGCCTGTTACCGGTATACGTCACTGGGTAAAACATTTGCATAATCCCCACCTGCCCGCGAGTCTGACCTTCCCACAAACACTTCCGCTAGTTAGTGTGTTTACATCATGTTGAGAAGACGCTGTGTTCAAGGATACCACAGAAATACAATTCGAACCTTTTGTTGTGTGCTCGTCATTTTACCAAGGACTGCTTCTCTAATCTTGGCTTTTATCTTTGTTGGCTTCTAATCTTCTTAATTTGGACTAACAAGCGCTCCGAATTACAACCTGTAAGTACGATTGATACGTTATGTGTACATTTTCAATTGAGTGCTCAAAATATCAAGTTTTTGTGCTAATATGTGATGTACACTAGGGGTGGAATGGTTCGCGGAAAAAAATCGAACCGTACGGTTCTCCACACACGGTTCGG